ACTTCTGGGTGAACACTTAACAAGCTTCCAGGCAAAATTCCATTTAAAAAGAGGCCATCCTCTATCTGAACACTGAAACTGCAGTAAACTACTCATCAAATTACTACTCTGATAGGCTTCTCTGATGACTCTTACTTTACAACATCATAATTTTAATTAAACATTTTCCACAATGACAAAAACTCAAGACCATGTAGGAGTTTCTCCCTCTCCTTCAGACTGATGTTTTTAAGCAGAGTGTTGGTAAATTTGGTAGGAATAGGAAGTTTATTTTTAAAAATCCTTCTGTAGAATCCTTTCTAACATGAAATGGTAAGAAAAGCAAAATTCCTTTACTTGAAAATTATGAAAGTTTCCGTTTAAACAGTGATTTGTGTAAACTCTATAAAAATCCTCTCAAAGTATTAGAATATGATTACCTTAAAAATATATGTCAGTCCGCACAATTTCTGAGTTCTTATTCTAGGAAAAGAGACCGCACAGAAAGGATGGAACAATGGTATGGAAACTTACCATCCTCTCCAACTGGACTCTTTATTGCAGACTTATTGCTTCCATGTGTTAAAAAAAAAAAAAAAAATCAAACCTTTAAGCCAACCCCAATCCCTAAAATTTTTGGCACTCTTATTGAGCATTGAATCCAGAGGGGGAAAAAAAAAACTTTTTTTTAATCACAAGCCTATCAGAGTCAAGATTTATTTCATCATTATGGGAATGTGTTTGAAATTAATAATAAAGGTTGGTTTCTCCAAGGCTTAAAGAAATTATACTATTTAAAGCTATTAAATACCACACATTATTTGCCCTTGATATTTAAATAAATAATGCCTATTTTGAACATTGCAATCTAGAGCATATAATATAAATTAATTAGAGGAATATTAAAATGGATGAGGTTTACACATTTCTTTTGGCACAGTAATGATTTTTTTTAAAACCTGTGTTTACATAAAGCTGAGGAATACAAACATCACATATAATTAATTTATATAATTTTCTGAAGCAATGAAATCTTTGCTCAAACTACACAACGAGGTCAATGAATTACCTAAATTCTGTCATCTTTGCACTTTTCTACAAATCAGGGTGCACGATGGAATGCGTAAGTCCCTAAAAGCAGCATATCTCCAACTTCCAGTGTGTGTCAAATGAAAGAAGGAAAAAGTTCCCTCACCCCCAAAGTGAGAACAGATGGGAATGTAAAATTAGATGGGAAGAGACAGTGAAGCTTTGGATGACTGACCAAGAAATCTTCCCCAGGGGTGGGGGGCCCATATACCAGACCTCTTTTTGTTCTGCCTCCCAGTTAACTTCCAAATTCAATCCAATAGGAATGCAAAGCAGTTCTTAGATTCGATGCATTGGTTTTGATTTCTGTAAGCATTCATATAAATTTCACGAAGAAGCTATTGACAAATCCATTTTAAAAATGCTATGTTTAATCACTTCCATGAGTTTAACATGACTTCGAACTAAGCCTGTTAACAGTGAGTATTTTTTTGATAAAATAAATGGCTTTAGGAAAAGGGACAACAGGCAAGAACAAACAAGATGCGGACAATGAATCCCTTGTAGGATGGAGGAGCCACCTGCCGTAAATTGGAAAGTTATGTAAATAAAGTAGGAATACACTTCATATTCATTCCTGTCATATTTTATCTGTACAACTAAAAAAAAAAAAGCTTAAGAGTAATGCAGGCAACACTTCCTATATCTAGCAGAAAAATGTTCTACTGATACTCAATCTTATACAGCATGATATAATTTTTCTATCTGAAAATACCAACTATAAACTTGAAAGAATACTCCCTATAGTGCCTTCTTGTCTTCAATATTTTTTATGTTTAACAGGGGTAATAATTTAAAACTGAAGGGAAACTAAAAATGGTGTTCTCAGATTCAAATGTACTTAAAAACACTAGTTTTATTGTGAATCGCTATTCTCTTAAAATACTGTGATATTAAAAGCAATTTTTTGTAAGATTAACCGTGACCTTTTGAAGAACTACCAGAGATCTTCCAAAAAATAGTGCTTGTGGAGCAGATTTTTGGGTGTGTGCTCAATTTTTATGTAAAATTTTCATCCATTGACACAATAATGAAAATAACTCAGGGTTTTAATCAATAGTGCTCAAAATTTATAGATCATTCTCATCCATAATTTCAAACTTGTTTTCCAAGACAATATAAGTTCTCTGTGTACCTTTTCCCTGCTGTCCCCAAAAAACTGGCTTTCAAGACCTAACCCTGTTTTACCTTTTTTTTAATCTTACATTGTAGTTTATACAACAAAAAGAAATATAGAAATATGAATCATTCCAAGTGGTGAAAGCAACTGTACCTCACACTTAAGTAATTTCAGTTTAAACAATCCAAGGCACTGGTAACGTGATAGAGGTTTCACTTATAACAGGGAACGAGGCCTTCCATAAAAAAGATGCTCAGTATAGGACACTGTACTTAGTTGAATATGTGCATGAAATAATTACTGAAAAGCAGATCTTATTCTTCAGATTACTCTGAGTTATGCGCAAACATTATTACTGAAAAAGGGAAAAAAAATCTCTCAAGGTGTCTTTTTTTCCCCCCTCTCTTATCAATACATAAAAGTCACAATAGGCAAACATTTGGGGATACTGTGTTGATTTTATTAAAATTCATTTTCCATACTTTACTCAAGCAGAAACACCTGTATTTTCAAATTCATCCTCATCCTAATAAATCCAAATACTAATCTCCCAAAACATCAAATGCTGATCCCTCTACATTATTGCCTTAATTCATTTTACAGTTAGTTGGTTGAGTGATTTTTAACATGGAACACAGAACTTTTTATAATAAATTTAAAACTTCTATTTTCCTCTTGGGTCTCGGGGGAACTTTGAATAAAGAATGCATATGCACAAACTCAACATTTACTCAAGATTCCTGTCCTAGCTCCAGATCTGCCACTGTCCTTTTAAACTGGGTGAGTCCAACACACTCTGGACAACAACCACTAGTGTGTAAAAGGAATGGGGTCAGATTAGGTCACGATTTCTCAGGCTGTAGCCTGCAGACACCTATGGGCATATTCTTGGGAGTCAGAGAGGGTTACATGGTGTCTTCATGTTATGCCATAAATATAATTATATTTCGGATAATCTCGTTCACAACTGTTGCCACCAATCATTATCACATAATTTCAGGATCTGATTTTAACACAGTGGTTATGATCTTGTTCGTGTGAGCTTTTTGTAATGACTGTGTTTAACTCGTAATAGGTGTTCCTCAAACTGAAATTCACAAATGTATTCTTGAAGCCTGATATTTTTCTGTTAACACAAGTCCACGTACTATTGAAGACTGTTAGACATTAAATCAGATGATCTTTCTAATTCTTTTCAAGTCTGAAAAATATGTTACACTCAACTGCCGCTTACTAATAATTTATGGAGATCCAGCTTAAGCACACTTTGAGAAAACAGACTTCAAAAGAGGAGTTATAATTTCTAATTCTATGTTCTACTTGTTTTCTTTTTACATTTAAATGCAAATGAAATTTTCGAGATGACAAAATGGCATTCAGTGAGCAGAATGAATAAGGCTATCAGATCAAAGTTCTCTTACCAAGTCACTATCATTTCAAATGATTTAGTGGACTACGTATTAACTAGGAGTCAGAAAATTCCAGTTTCGCATCTGACTTGAAAGAGCATCTTAGTGTTAAGAGTGATTTGTTCTCAAGACCCCCACTTTTTTTTGTTTTACAAAGTTAGTACATTATGCTACTCAATGAATAAAATGTACAATAAATACCAGGCACTCATGTTATATAATAAGTAGTATGCTTCACATTTTAATTTATATAATAAATAAAAAAACAAATCTGCAAAACTCAAATATTTGCTTTTCCTAATTTTGTTAGTGACAATATAAATAACGTATAAAAATAACAGCATAGTTTTTTACTATAAATCATGGATTATATCGATCTAGTTTTAAAAACATTTATGTTTAAGTCTGCTTCATCTAATTTAAAAATATTTACAATGCTGTCGATTTGCACTTAAAGATAATTTAATATAGAAATTAAATGTCTATTTTGGCACTGGTTAAAAATCACTGTTTACTGGTTAAAAGTTTAACTTATAAAAACTTATCATTACACATAATCTTATATCAAATTTTTAAATGATATACTCTTGAAGGAATTCTCAACTTAACATGTATCTTAACAACAGAATCATCTTAACACCAGTAAAGAGAAGTAAAATGTTTGCAAACTTGCAAACATTAAATTAAGATAGTCTTAATTTAAAATGCATATACTTCACATTTAAAATAGCTATTGAATTTTTAATTTAAAAAATTAGGAAAAATGAAACTCATTTAGATCATCTTATTCCTATGTGTGATATAAATGCAAACAAAAGTTTTAAACAAAAATCCTTCATAAGGCAGTATGTGGGATTTTTTTCCCTAATTTGCAGCAGTTTCTACTTTTTAAAAAGAAGGTTTTAAACCATTTCTAAAGCATGGCTAATAGCATAACACAATTTGATTATTAATTAAACTAATAAAATCACTTACTGATTCTGAAATTATTTAGTGAATTTATAATAATTGACTTTTGACAGATGCATTTTTTTGTTAAGGTGAAGGCTTTGAAAATCTAAGATCAACATATTGCACAATAAGTTTAAGTTTTATCAAAAGAGAAATAGCACATTCAGATTTAAAAGTTTTCTTGTTCTACTAGCAAACATAACTAACATCAGTTTTGTAAACTCATTTCAAATTTTCTTCTTCCTATAAAGGAATTTTCAGCTTTTATTACTTCAAGATTTCTTTTCTAGAAGATGTAATTAGACCATCAACTAAAGGACGGTGGAGTCGAATGGAAAACGTGCATTTCCAAAAAGTGCATACTTTTATATATTGTGATAAGGAACTTTTTTCTTGGAATAGACAAGTGTAACTGCACAAATGCTAAAACCGGTGCCAAAAAGTTACTCTACCTGAACTGTAGAGCTGATCTCCGACGCAAAGCCGCCTGTCAAGGGAGCCTCATGGCTGATTAGCAGTCGCCCTGTTTTGATCACAGACTGAAAGAGAAAAGGAAAATCTGATGCTGAAGAGAATACATGTTTTCAAGTATATGATGGCAGTTTTGATTAAGGAATAAAAACAACGTATTTCAATCCAATAAATAATTAAAAATTAGTAATACAGTTTTAGGCCAAATAAGTTGTAACTTTCTCTCACTGCAGTTATTTGATATTTGCACTGTTACAAAAATTTTCAATATAGTTTATAGTCCTACAAAAGAAAAATGAGATTTGTAATTCTGTCATTAAAAGGCATTCCATTATAAAACACTTCTGTGTTACAAACTAAATTATGGTCTTTCATGTTTTTAATCTCAAAATCATTTTTTCTTCATATTACCTTAAGAATGAAAGTGCTTTCTTTGTTGCATTCATTTTCGGGTGTATTTGCATATAAACAAACAGCCTTGGGAAATAGGGTTTTGTGGAGAAGGAACACATGGAAATAGCATGGAAAAGCTGTAATGCAGGAAAAGCTCAAGCTACTCGATACTCAAGGAAACCTAGCAGGAAGAAATCACTGCAAAAGTACAAGGGTTCCAGCCGTCTTTGTTCATGTGCATTAAAATCTGGTTAACCACCACAACTCCATTTTAACCTAGAAAATGTCACAAACAAAAAGATGTAGTCTCAATACTGGCTCAGTGTGGTTGTTCGCCCAGCGTGATATACTCTGTACCATAATAAATCAAAAAGAATAGCTTATGATATCATAGCAGGATGACAGCTGTGTTGGAAGGTAAAAAATATTAAAATCAATAGCAAGTTACTGCTTCAAATATATTGAATAATTAACATGTTGCCAAAGAGCAGGGATAATGTCTCTGCTACATGTCTAATAATGTGATATCACCTTTCTTAAATTATACATTAATATTTTGTGAATATAAGATCTTCCAAGCAAATATATGTATATAAATTAAAAGACTGCCTTCATTCTAAGCAATTAGAGTTTAAAACCTTAAAAGGAACAGATGTTAAACTCCAAGATATGGCCAGTAGCCATGATAAAAATAAGTTATTGTGTCTACTAAGTACATAGTGACTTAAAAACATAAAATTTTATGAACACCTTAATGAATACCATCCCCGCCCCCAGTGAAATTCTAACCTTCGTATACTGGTATTTGGATTTTAGGACTGTGATTAATTATGCCATTTATGAAAGTAGCAAATTTAAATTTTAACGCACCTGGTTAGAAATATACAGAGACAGAAATAGTCCACAATTACGAAAAACAAAAAACAAAAAACAAATGTGTTCTCAAAGGACTCTCTAAAAGAAGTCCTGACCTAAAGGACTACCAGTTAAAAAAACAGATTTGACAACTAAACCTTTCTTATCGCTCTGAAACCCGAAAGTCTGCCAATGTATAAGTGCCCAAGGATGACATAGCTAAAATCCATCCCAGCTAGAGGATGCATCTTAAATCCCTGGGAGGTAGAAATGAGAAACTTCTATAAAAATGCTGCTGTTACCTTAAACCTCCACACAACAGAATTGGTATTTTTGATTTGAGCTGAGTTCTATCCAAGATCGAATGACAACCTTCAGAAGGATTCCTGAAGGCCAATAAGCAACCAGGGCAGAGAGCCTGGCTTCCTATAGCCTGCAGAATATACTGGGGAAACGAAGCACAGATATAGCCAGGGCGAAAGCTTCCAACCCTTGGAGTTTATGCAACATGATGAAATCTGGAGACCTGCCGAGTGTCCTTCAGCAGGCGTAAGGCTAGATAAACCGAGACATAGCAATATAGTTGGATATTATGCAGCCACAAAAAAGACTGAGGACAGGGAAAGATGCCTATGGTAAATGAACTGATAATATGAGCAAACTGCAGAACAACATAATCTCATTTTTACAAAAAAAAAAAAAGAATAATCAAACAAACACCACAGCAGTGGGGACACCAATATACATAGCTGTATGTCCTGAGCCAACATGTGTAAATAGTCTGGAGGGATTCATTCCAAACTACCAAAACTTGTTTCTCCTAAGGAGTGACAGTGAAGGAATTCTTGGGAAAAGACTATGTAAAATGCATTTTTATATTATCGCAAGTATTCCCAATAAGTCATTATTAAGTAAAAGTAAAGCCCTTGAATTAATGCTGAAAGTAACAAGTACACACTGTTGTAGTCATAATCTCCTCAAAAAAACCTAACAATTTTTTTAATGATATTTTAGGAGTAGCTTCCAGTACAAGAGAACCCTAAGGTCCCAAGCTCCAGCAGGAAATAAGCACACTAAGAACACAGGGAGTCAGCCTTCCCTTGCCAGTCTCCGTAGATTGTGCTCCATGGCAGGATGATGACCAGCTCACCTCTTGGCCCTTAAACTGTTGGACCCTACACAACATGCTCAATGAGCTATTAGCATCAGAGAACATGAAGCTTTTCAACACCTCCGTATGTGTGTTATGTGCCTGTGTGTTCTCGGATCAGGAGTTATGCTGACAGTTACAGAAGAAATTCCAGAAATTTCTAAAATATCAAGAGCTAAAGGTTAAACACAATGAAAAGTAATAACACTGTGAGTTTCTGGAAATTATTATGGTATACAAACTAGTGAGAGACAGTGTGGCAAGAAGAGAGGAGTCAGAAATAACGATCGTCATCAACAACTGGTTGTCCCATAAGTTGCTATGTGCTAGGCTGTGAGCTGAGCATTTCAGATTGATTACTTAATTTAATTTGTAAAGCACCTAAGTTTCATTTTTGCTTCTTAAAGTCAACTCTTGATATCTGAAAAGTATTAAAATGTATAAAATAAAATTACAACAAAATTCTGAAAAATGCCAAAATTAAGAACTGTGATATTTTCCAAGTCATATCACCAATTAGCATATATTATTAATGACTGAGTCTATAAATACAGTTCAGTAATTTTGTAAGATATAATTAAATTCAACGTGGAATGTGCTTTTTTATCATTCATGATTTTAACTTACTAGAATTTCTGAAGATTGTTTCTTTTCCATATTCCTTTGGAAATTATTAACACTTAATATTATGATAATGAGATCACAAATCTAGAAAATTAGAGGCAGTTTTACTCTATTCTTTGTGATTCAATTAGATACTCTGATCAAATTACATATTTTTGTTCAACTTTAACAGGAATTTCATTTTCACACATTTAAGCACGATACACAACTGCCAGGTTATATTGTTAGCCAAATTTAGCATTTTGAGGTATTTAGTAAAAATTAACATAGTGCCTTTTAACGGGGATAGCCATTAACCTTTTTAAAATAGCTAAAGATATAAATACTAATAATACTTTAAAATTCATTTTCTTTAGAAGAAATTTTTAAAGTTTCAAGTTGTCTTCTGAGATAAACCTATTTCACCACTGGAGGAAAAAAAAAATTTAAGAGGGTTTAAGCAACTTTTCAGTATGAAAAGCTGAACCTATCAGAGCCAGGAAAGATCACGTAAGGCTGGATTTTCCAGTATCTGCTTCTTCAACTTCTTGCCACTAAGACCTGCTCCAGGATCCTGGCCTCGGGCAGATGGAGCACGAGTGAGTTAGAGACAACAAATGGCACCAGGGAAAGCTAAGCCAATTAAAGACTAGGACTGTGAATAACTGTTCTCTGTATCCCCTACCACGAAACAAAAGGGCTTTGTTTCCTACACTGGCTCCAGAAGGTTTGTCAAGAAAACTTTAAAAGCAATTCTGGAAGGCTAGGAGTGAAACAGACTGTGGCTGCTAAGTCAGTTCGCACTGGTCCGCCCTGGATTTCTCTCATGGAGTCTCACTTTCTCACTATTTCAGTTAGCCATCCCTTCCCCTATCAAACTTTCAATACGGAACACACAGCAACTTTGCCAACAACAGAATGATCAAGACACCTCTGTTCCAATGGGACGCTGACAATGCCTTGTTCCTGGTCTGGCCACTCCGTGACTTTTTCCATTGTCCATCTTCTACCCAGACGTCATTACAAGTGGCTATCACTTCAAGTTATCTATGCAGGATATCTAGTACAATGCTCAAAATATGGTAGACACTCAAGAAAAGTTAATTAGATAAAAGCCTATTACAAAATAATTTCATTATATTAAGTATGTCCTCCTGTGATGTACTGAAGCTATTGCTTTCTTAGAAAGCTCCATTTTTAAGATAGGGCAAAAGTATACTTCAGCACATCCCACAACAATTTAAATATGAAATAAGACTCCAAGCTGAGGTTATTTTAATGTAGATTTGACAATAAGATATCCATAATAAGAGCAAATTGCTAAGTTATACTCCATTAAAGAAACTGCACAGATTTTGGCTGCCCAAACATTGGACATATGTTTTAGTGAATGTAGCCTTTAAAGATTTTAACACAATTCAACCAGGAAAACTGTTAAGCTGTTATTCCAGGAGAAAATGATACAGACAAGCAGACCATTAGGCTTGCATATGCCCAAACGTGTAACACTGACATTCAAAAAGCAAAAAATATGTTTTCTTAATTTCTTACACAAACTCCAGGGCAAAACTTTCTCCTACAGCGCACTTCAACCTGACCAACACGAAGTTCAGCGGCCTATTCTAACTGCTGATAAGATAAATTAGGAAAGTAACACTTCGGATAAGCAATTCACAGCCTTTTTAAACATTTTCTATCTGAATATAAAGCTAATGAAAAGCAAAAGAAACACCAAAGCCGGCCTTTACCACTTCCTTTTGAAACAAAATGTTTATAAATACACACAAGCAAAAGTAATAGTAAAATCACACACCTGTGTTTCATTAACCAAAAACGTATTAGTCAATATTTAGACACTCCAGAATCATTAAGAACATGATTTAAATTAGCTTCAAATATTATCGCAAATGGATTACAGTTTTTGAAATGTTTTCTTGTTTGGTAGCCAAATGCATTTGAAAAGTTAGCCAGAAAAACTTCACAATTAATCACAGGCTAACAAATGTATTATAATATGCCCAGCAACTATTATTAATCAGCATGATCTTCATGCACAGACCATGGACT